CCAAAAATGTCCCAAAATTCACCCAAATCCCCCAAAAATTCCCTAAAATCCCCCCAAAATGCCCCAAAATCCCAGAAATTCCCCAAAATTTCCCTCAAAATCCCCCTAAATCCCCCAAATCTCCCCAAAATTCCCTAAAATCCCCTCAAAATGCCCCAAAAGTCCCTGAAATCCCCCAAAATCTCCCTCAAAATCCCCCAAATCTCCCCAAAATTCCCCAAAATTCCCCGAAATGCCCCAAACTCACCTCGGTGGGTTTGTAACAGTCAACGAGGATCTCCTGGGGGGGGGAGGGGAGGATTTGGGGTCACGATTTGGGGTCCCCCAAAATTTGGGGGGGTCCCTGAACCCTCCCAGGCCCCTCCCCCACGGCCACGCCCAGAATTTGGGGGGATTTGGGGATTTTTGGGGGGTTGAGGGATTTTTGGGGGATTTTGGGGGGGATTTTGGGGAGGATTTTGGGGATTTTTGGGGAGGATTTTGGGGGGATTTTGGGGGTGTTCCTGAGAGGGACCCCAAGGCATTTTGGGGCGATTTTTGGGGTGATTTTTGGGGGTTTTGGGATGATTTTGGGGCAATTTTGATGCGATTTTTTGGGAAGATTTTGGGATGATATTTGGGACATTCGGGGTGATTTTAGGGTGGTGTTTGGGGCGACTCCGAGGATGATTTTGGGGGATTTTGGGGATGGTTTTGGGGTCATTTCAGCTGATTTCGGGTGATTTTAGGATGACTCTGGGGTTATTTCGGCTGATTTTGGGGTGATTTTGGCCATTTTGGGATGATTTTGGGGTGATTTGGGCCATTTTTGGCTGATTTTGGGGTGATTTTGGCCATTTCAGGGTGGTTTTGGGGCGGTTTCAGGTGATTTTTGGATGATTTTGGGGTTTTTTAGGGTGATTTTGGCAGTTCCAGGGTGGTTTCGGAGGTTTTGGGGATGATTTTGGGGTCATTTTGGAGCTTTTTTGGCCATTTCAGGCTGATTTTGGGGTAATTTTGGCCATTTTGGGATGATTTTGGGGTGACTGGGGCCATTTTTGGCTGGTTTGAGTGGTTTCAGGGAGGCTGCAGTGGTTTTGGGGATGATTTTGGGGAAGTTTTGGGGTGATTTTGGCCGTTTTTGCCCATTTCTGCCCGGTTTTTGCCCATTTTTTGCCCATTTTTGGCTGTTTTCCCCCATTTTTTGCTGTTTTTGGTACTTTTTTTGCCCATTTTTGTCAGGTTTTGGGTCATTTTCTCCCATTTTTAGTTGTTTTTGGCCAGTTTTGCCCATTTTTAGTTTTTTTTCACCCATTTTTCTCCTTTTTTTGCCGGGTTTTGGCCGTTTCCCCCCCATTTTTAGTTGTTTTTGCCCATTTTTGGCTGGTTTTGGTAGGTTTTTTGCCCATTTTTGTCACTTTTTTGCTAGGTTTTGGCCGTTTTTTCCCCATTTTTACTTGTTTTTGCCCATTTTGGCTGTTTCTGGGAGGCTTTTTGCCCATTTTTGTCCATTTATTGCCTATCTATTGCCCATTTTCCCCCTTTTCCCCCCATTTTTGCCCGTTTTCCCCATTTTTGTCCATTTTTTGCCCGTTTTTGCCCCATTTTTAGTTGGTTTTGCCCACTTTTGTCCATTTAGTGCCCATTTTTGTCGGTTTTTTGTCAGCTTCTTGTCCATTTTTTCCCCATTTTTGCCTGTTTTCGGCCATTTCCCCCCCATGTTTAGTTATTTTTGCCCGTTTTGGCCATTTTTGGGAAGCTTTTTGCCCATTATTGTCAATTTGTTGTCCATTTTTGCCTGTTTTTCCCCATTTTTGTCCATTTTTTGCCCGTTTTTCCCCATTTTTAGTTATTTTTGCCCATTTTTGCTAAGTTTTGGTAGGTTTTTTGCCCATTTTTGTCCATTTATTGCCTTTTTTTGTCCATTTATTGCCCGTTTTTGTCTGTTTTTTGTCCATTTATTGCCCGGTTTTCCCCATTTTTAGTTGTTTTTGCCCATTTTTGCTTTGTCTTGGTAGGCTTTTTGCCCATTTTTCCCCATTTTTGCCCGTTTTTCCCTGTTTCCCCCCGTTTTCCCCCGTTTTCCCCAATTTTTGTCCATTTTCCTCCATTTTTGTCCATTTTCCCTCCATTTATTGCCCATTTTTGTCCCGTTTTTCCCCATTTCCCCCATTTTTCCCCATTTTCCCCCGTTTTTCCCCCATTTCCCCCCATTTTTTGTCCATTTTCCCCCTTTTTTCCCCCATTTTCCCCCATTTTTCCCCGTTTTTCCCCGTTTTTCCCCATTTTTGTCCAATTTTCCCCATTTTTTGCCCGTTTTTCCCCCGTTTTTTTCCCCATTTCCCCCGTTTTTTGCCCCATTTCCCCCGTTTTTTTCCCCATTTCCCCCGTTTTTGCCCGTTTCCCCCCGTTTTCCCCCCGTTTCCCCGTCCCGCCCCCACCTGCACGCGGGCGCTGCGCGCGCCGTCGCTCTCCATGTCCAGCAGCTCGTCCACGTCGATCTCCAGCTCCGGGATCTCCTCCTCCTGCCCCAAATTCGGGATTTGGGGGGGCCCCGGGGCCTTGGGGGCTCAGGGCCCCGGGGGAGGTTTTGGGCTGATTTTGGGTGGATTGGGGGCGATTTTGGGTGAATTTGGAGGCGATTTTGGGTGAATTGGGGGCGATTTTGGGACAAGTTTGAGGTGATTGCGGGAATGGTTTTGGGGTGATTTTGGGGCGATTTTTCAGGTGATTTTGGGGTGATTTTTGGGTGATTTTGGGGCAGTTTTGAGTTGATTTTGAGATGATTTTGGGGTGATTTTGGGGTGATTTTTGGTGTGATTTTTGAGGTGATGGGGGATGATTTTGGGGGTGATTTTGGGGCGATTTTTGGGTGATTTTGGGGTGATTTTTGGGCTGATTTTTGAGGTGATGGGGGATGATTTTGGGGTGATTTTGGGGTGATTTTGGGGCGATTTTTTGGGTGATTTTGGGGTGAATTAGGAGCTGATTTTTGAGGTGATTTTGGGGCGATTTTTGGGGTGATTTTGGAGATGGTTTTTGAGGTGCTGGGGGGATGATTTTGGGGGGATTTTGGGGCGATTTTTGGGGTGATTTTGGAGATGGTTTTTGAGGTGCTGGGGGGATGATTTTGGGGGGATTTTGGGGCGATTTTTGGGGTGATTTTGGAGATGGTTTTTGAGGTGCTGGGGGGATGATTTTGGGGGGATTTTGGGGCGATTTTTGGGGTGATTTTGGAGATGGTTTTTGAGGTGCTGGGGGGATGATTTTGGGGGGATTTTGGGGCGATTTTTGGGGTGATTTTGGAGATGGTTTTTGAGGTGCTGGGGGGATGATTTTGGGGGGATTTTGGGGCGATTTTTGGGGTGATTTTGGAGATGGTTTTTGAGGTGCTGGGGGGATGATTTTGGGGTGATTTTGGGGTGAATTAGGAGCTGATTTTTGAGGTGATTTTGGGGTGATTTTGGAGATGGTTTTTGAGGTGACTGGGGGATGATTTTGGGGTGATTTTGGGGCGATTTTTGGGCGATTCTTGCCGTTGCTTTGGGGCGATTTTGGGGTCCCGAGGGGGTCCCGGAGCCGGTCCCGGTGCCCCCCCCGGCCGTGTCCCCACCGTGTCCCCGCTCCCGTTCCTGTCCCCGTTCCCGGTTCCCGTTCTGGTTCACATTCCCGTCCCCGTTCCCGTCCCCATTCCTAGTCCAAAAATCCCGTTTCCCGTTACCCATCCCCATTCCCCGTTCCCATTCCCCGATTCCCCGTCCCCGCTCCCTCCCGGTCCCGGTTCCCGTTCCCATTTCTGGTTCCCATTCCCGGTTCCCATTCCCGTTCCCCGTCCCCGCTCCCGCTCCCTCCCGGTTCCCGGTACCCGTTCCCATTCTCGTTCCCGGTTCCCATTCCCATTCCCCGGTTCCTGTCCCCGTTCCCCTCCCGGTCCCGGTACCCGTTCCCATTCCCGTTCCCGGTTCCCGTTCCCATTCCCATTCCCGTTCCCATTCCCATTCCCGTTCCCATTCCCCGTCCCCGCTCCCGCTCCCTCCCGTTCCCGGTTCCCGGTTCCCATTCCCGTTCCCGCTCCCGCTCCCCCCCGGTCCCGGTTCCCGTTCCCATTCCCGTTCCCGGTTCCCGTTCCCATTCCCCGTTCCCATTCCCGTTCCCATTCCCATTCCCGTTCCCGTTCCCATTCCGTTCCCCGGTCCCGGTTCCCGTTCCCCGCTCCCTCCCGGTTCCCGGTACCCGGCAGTCGTAGAGCGCCGTCAGCTGCCCCAGGATCCACTCCTCGAGGTGCAGCCGCTTGCGGAGCTCCCTGCGGTCGTAGCGCACCGTGACCTTCCCGCGGCCCCGCCCCGGGCCCTCCTCCGGTGCCGCCGCCGCCGCCGCCGCCGCGGGGGCGAAGCAGACGC